GTCCCCGGTTTTTCCCAATATAATTTTAAATTTTTAAAAACCGAAAACCTTATTTCCGGGTTTAGGGGGGGGGGGGGGGGGGTGTCGCAGGAAAGTGTAAAAAAAAGTGTAAGGGCGGGAGGGGGGGGGGCAAAAATTCCCAAACAAAGTGTAAGATTTTATTTGAACAGCCCCAAAACAACGCCGGCCACACCTGCCCAACGTCAGCGAGAGTTTAAGGACCTGACGCATGTGTCAGGGGCACAGAATTCTACACTTAGTGTAGAATTCTGTGGTCAGGGGACAAACTTTTTTTATACTCCAAACAATTTTTTTTTTTTTGGGGGGGGTAGACATTCACATTTAACTTTTGATTTTGATCTAACAAAACTCATATTGGTTACTTTTGATTGCAATGGGCGTAGCAACAATACAATGTATTCCAATAGTTCCGTGGCATTGTTTTAGCTATACATACGCCTTGCAACTTTTGCTACTTTTTCTTGCAACTTTTGCTATTTTCAAATGCAACTTTCTCTGAGGACAGGTTTGTAAAACAATCTTCATGAACACAATGTCTGACCAACTGGTTTATTTAAAGTGTCTTCTCCGAAAAAAAAACCAAGAGGTCCCCCCCCCTCTCTCTCTAGAACACATCACGCCCACCATGAGAGAGCCAAGGATGACAAGTTGTTCCATAAAGAGGAATTGTTTGACAAACTTTCGAAGATATCCTCCTGTCTACAGATTACAATCCAGAAAACGTCAGATTTGCATCAAGTATACATGGAGAACTTTGCAGAGAGAGTGAAAGCCACATTGAGCTATCAAGTGTTCTGCCAAAAGTTCAAGAAAAACAATTTGGGTTCACTTTCAACCAAGAAAGACCAGTGCGACATTTGCACCAGCTTCGAATTAGGAAACCTCACAGAAACAGAATACACAGCTCATCAAATATGAATATGAGGAAAGCCGCAGCTAGACAAGAAAAGGAGAAGGACAGGGAGGCGGCACTGGACCCAGAGAACAAAATGTGTGTCCTTTGTGTGGGGATCCAGTGCGCCCTTCTGGCCTCATCACTAAAGACATCCACCTTATACTATAAGACAAAACTGGCAATACACAATTTTACAATTTAGGATCTTGCCACCAGAGACGCCAGATGATATGTCAAGGATGAAAGTGAAGTTGGTCTGAGCTTCAACAGCTCTGACGCACTAACTGATATTGCAAGCGACTGGCTTCAACCACTTCATCATCTGCAGTGATTGGTGCAACTATTAAAACAGAACTGCTACCCTGGTGAGTGCAATGGCCTCGCTGGCCAAAGAGCTTAACATCACAGTTGAGCAGAAATTATCACCAAGGGCCGTATCCAAATCGAGGTGGATTCAGTCCATAGCACTATTGAACGATGGCTCTAAAACGCACTGATGTACATCCCAATGGACTACGTGAACATCATGCTCCAAGCCAGACGCATCCCCAAGCTCTTTGAAGTTGTATACCTGGGCCACAGCTTTTTCAAAGATTTTGCAAAGGTCGGAGAGCACTAAACAATCCGTCCAGGGAGAAAAGCAGGCGATCCTACTGTCACTGACTTGCAGGCATCAAAGTACACTCCATACTTTACAATTCAGTACCAGCTGAACTTTGATGATGGATGGCAGGCGCTGCAAGGACCAAGAAAGCTGAACACCCTATGTACGACGGTTACTGCTGGACCTCTCTGCAAAGACAGATTGAAGATAACTGCCAAACAGTATAAACACCTACAGGAGTTGAAGGCCGTCGTACCACGATGCTACCACAATTACCATGAAACTTTGCCTCAGTAAGAAGTTTTGAAAGCCATCAAGTCAAATTCGATTATTGTTGAGTCTTTCAAAACAATGGTAACTTTTGTCATATTGCCTTGTTGTAGCCACAGGACACAGAGTGAGACAGGCATGCTCTTCTATTGTCGAGAAAACTCAATAAAGTAGTAGTTGTCAAGCCACGCACCTTGAAGAAAGTTGGCGCATTCTTTGATACTTACAAATTCTTTTTGTATAATAATAATAATATATTATTATTATGAAGCCAATTTCACCCAGACCATTGCTGAGGTAGCAGAGCTTCTGTGTGGCTGTCTGCTTTCTTTTCTTTCTTAGTATTACTTTTTTCCAGGCATTTGAAAGGCCGCCCAGTGCCAATAGTACCGTGTCAGACACTGTCATAAATTCTAAAGGCTTGCTGCTGCTGCTGCTGCTGCTGCTGCTACTGCTACTACTGTTGTTTTTGTTCTTGTTGTAGTTGCTGTTTTTGTTGTTATTGCTGTAGCTGCTCTCCCTTACCCTACCAACCTCCTGTTCTTCTACTTCAAATGTAATTAATATACCTATTGCTGAATTCTGCTTCTTCTACTTCTATTAAATGTTCCAATTTGTGACTGCTGTTTTTGCCAGAATTGACTCCTTAGCACTGAAATAACAGCAGCTAATAGTATGTTGGTAGCAGTAATATCGTTCTCCTCCTCTTCCTTCTTACTCCTCCTCCTCCTTTCTCCTTATCCTCCTCCTCCTTTCCCTCCTCCTTCTTTCTCCTTATCCTCCTCCTCCTTTCCCTCATCCTCCCCCTCCCTTCTCCTTATCCTCCTCCCTTCTCCTTCTCCCTTCTCCCTTCTCCTTCTCCTCCTTCTCCTAATCCTCCTCTTCCTCCTCCTTTCCCTCCTCCTCCCTTCTCCTCCTCCTCCCCCTTCCCTCCTCCTCCTCCTCCTTTCCCTCCTCCTCCCTTCTCCTCCTCCTCCCCTTTCCCTCCTCCTCCTCCTCCTTTCCCTCCTCCTCCCTTCTCCTCCTCCTCCCCCTTCCCTCCTCCTTATCCTCCTCCTCCTTATCCTTCTCCTTCTTCTTCTTCTTCTACAAAAGATCACGACGATTGCAAGAACTGATCAAATACGTTACAGTCAAGTGTGGCTTGGCTGCACTCAACGAAACTCGAGGCCAGCAGTGGCTTCCTGATAAAACCGGCCAACCCAA